TTGTTAATATATATATAAACCATACATACATACGTACTTGCATGCATACATACCTACACACATACACAAGCACACACAATATGCACATACATACACACCTTCATTTATATATATATATATATCCTTATATATATATCTTTAAATATGTATATATATATATATATACATATATAATATATATATAGAGATTTAGATATATTTATATACATACATACACACACACACGCGCATATATATATATACATATATTTATATGTATATACACACACATATATTTTATCTATATATATAATATACATATTCATACATACATATGCATACGAACATAAATATGTAAATACATACGTGTATAAATACATACATACACATATTCAATTCTATATGTATACATTTATACATATGTCCCTATGTATATATACAGATATATATTTATCTAGATATGGATATGTGTGTGTATGTATGTGTTTGTATATATTATACACACACACATATATATTTATGTATATACATATATATATATTATGTATATACATATATATATATTATGTATATACATATATATATATTATGTATATACATACATATATATATATTATGTATAATATATATACATATACATATAGACTTACATTCATATGAACATAAATACATACATATTCATATGTATAAAATATATACATATATGTATATACATACATATTATTATGTATATATATATATACAAACACATGGACAGCAACAGAGATTTGTACAAACACATTTTCACTATGCACACGTCACCAATGTTCTTAATTAATACCTATGACTGAATTGAAAGACTTTAAAACTTGTGAACTCGTCTATGATATAAAAAGGATGCTGATTTAATCTGTACCTTGCTGATGGGACTTAAGTCGGCGTTCAAAATTCTCTGTCACTATCGAAATGCAAAGATTGTTGTACGAATCAGAATACCATTGTCGTACTTGCGCAATCATGTTATGATCGAAACAATTGTAGTCGATATTACTAGCACGACTAGGAATGCCACCAGCATCATTGCATGAAGATGCAGCACCATTATATTAAGTCGTTATCATTGTCGCAAGTATCCGCCTCCTGGACAAGACGAGGTGTACATAGTCATGTTACAACTCGATGCGTCTCTCGTGAATGCCGGTTCGAATGCATACTATTCTGAGGGCCGTTGTTCATCGGCGGGTTTGTAGAGTACATGTTACTCATGCGGTACTGTTGCTGCTGAGTCCACTGTTGGTCTTGAGCGCTAGAATCGCTTGATTGCGCCATCCCTTGCACCTGGGTAGGCTGAGGCTGTTGGCTTGGATACTGCTGATTATATTGATATTGCAGATGTGTTTGATGATATTGACGATTCTGCGGCACAGACCCGCGGTGATCGCAACCGCCGATGCCGTCGGAAGTGGAAAAAAGTTTCTTCTTCGACCGTGTGTGCTTTCGATCCCTCTTGGATATATGGTTATGATGATAATGCTTTGAAGGTATTACTTCCTGCTGTTGTTGATTCCTCACCTCCGAATTTTCATATTGATTATTGCCCATGTAAACTTCTTCCTGCTGCGTGTTAGTTATATACCCCTGTTGATTAGAATACATTTCATCATGTGGCTCCTGATCTATCACCATTGTACTTCCGTGATGATTGTTGCTAGCGTAAACTGGTAAATGCTGAGCGTTTGACACGTGTTGATTGTGATACATGGTCTCTTGCGGCTCCTGGTTTCTCACCGTCGGGTTCAGATGGTGATTATTGCAAACATAAACTGATTCGTGCTGAGGCCATTGTTGACCTTGAACTCTAGTATTGCACGGCGAAGTACTCATTTGCATCTGTACTACCTGCGGCTGCTGGTTTTGGCATTGTCGCTGTGCGGAGTGAGTCTGCCGATTCTGTGTATCGTTACGGAGATCGCGACCGTTGCTCGCTTGGCACATCCCATTGTACCGCATGTTTCGTGTTGGCCGCTCGAAATCATCTCTTACAGTCTGTCCAGCGTTCTGTACGGTAACGTATGGATAATTGCAGGGAGATTGGCGACGCCCGCCCGTGCTCCGCCTGCATTCACCCTCGTTTGTGTTACCGTACACGGTAGGTTCGAGTGGTTGGTAGTTGCCCATATTCTCATCCCTCGATTGAAAATGCACGTGTGGTACTTTCTCATCTGATCCATATAAATATGCCACGTCTGGCGACCCTTGGGTGGACGACGTAGGTGAAATGGATACCCAGTCCTGTCGTTGCGAACGTCCCTCCATGAGCCTGTGATTGAGCGTAGGCTGCTGTTGTTCGCTGCAAGTGGGGTTGAAGACCTCATAATGTGGACTACCACCTCCACGATCATATTCCTGAGTAAGGAAATCCTGGTCTTGTCGCTGATGATTGCACGAACAAATCGATCTTTTCACTATGTTTTGCACACGCGCATTGATCGACTGTTGCTGCTGTTGCTGCGCCCAGCCCTGTACCTGACTAGGACACTCTTGTGGGTTGTGGTGTTGCATCGGTGTGATGAAGTTGGCACCAGGCGGTGGTATGGAATTATAGTTCGTGTTCACATTCACCAATCCATCCCCATTTATTGGTGGCAAGTTGGTGCCAGGCGATGGAATAGTGCTGTAGTTCGTGTTCACATTCACCAATCCATCCCCATTAATTGGTGGCAAGTTGGTGCCAGGCGATGGAATAGTGCTGTAGTTCGTGTTCACATTCACCAATCCATCCCCATTAATTGGTGCAATAGGCGCTGATGGCGTCGGCGTGGACAAAACCACAGGAACATCCCCGCGATCAGTATTATTTTTCCTCTTCTTCGACCCTTTTCTCTGACGCACATGCATGTCCTTTGGCACTTCGGAATGAACACAAGGATGGTGCGACTGCTGGGCCTCAGTTTGCTGCATCATAGTGCGAACATGCTCGCCATGAATCTGTCGACGGGTGTGGTCGGAAGAGTGATTAACATCTTCGCCTGGCATTTGTCTGTGGTTAGTGAATCCACAGGATGTGTACTCTTCCTGAGATTCGTTCTTCAGAACTTGTGATTTCAACTGCGAAAGGACTGAACTTTGAATGTTGCTGACGTAATTAGAAGCGCCTTGGTTGATGGCTCCCTCCACGCATCTCACAAGAGTGCTTCCGTCTTGCTGAAGAATCATTAGTTGCGATGGCACTGTGACGGCGGAAGCCATAGGCATTGACACAGCTACAGGTATGGGCACACCATTTTGTATTCTTAAGTACTGTACCGCACGTGGTACTAGCTTAGCACCACCATTCACAGTGGGTCTCATAGCTATCGGACGGGGTTGTACTGGAATATGCTTCTTTGGTGCGGTATGCAGGAGATGGCTGCGATCACCCGTGGGTATCGCAGGAATGGTGGCTACAGGCGATTTTGCGAGATCGCAGAACACACTATTGCCTCTCGCGTGCTTCAGTCGATAGTGTAAATTTCTCGCGTGATTACTCGCGTACGTCTTCCCGCACCTATCGTACTTGCAAAAATAGGCACGTTTTAACTCAGCCGCCTTGCGCCTTCGACGTGACAGCTTGCTGGCAGAACTCCCCGCTACACTGCCGCTGAAAGACAAACTGTCCTTCTCGTCAAATTTACTGCCGAATTTCAGACCATTGGCACTGTTCGCGGTGATATCATTCACATTGGTATGCTCACTAGGATTATTGACACCATCATTGCAGACTGCGGTGCTTTCCTCGTCTTCACTTTTGATACGTTTCATATATTGCTTCTCACTGACGAAACTACCCGTGTAATCCCCATCTTGACTGAACATCGTCCTTCCAGCCTGTGTATCCTCAGGGGTTTTCGACCCAGTCTCGCACCTATGGGATATCACAGTACCCTCCGTCCCTGTGCTCGCTGAACGACCGATTCTCTGTTCTGCCGCAGTGGCGGACGCGCCCTGACTCCCTATCTCGGAACGCGTGGTATTACTGCCAAAATCAGTCGGGCTACTACTCTCCTTGTCGTGATTCAATCCACTCAGAGTTTGACAGTCATTCGAACTATCTGTTTTGAAATAACTATGCAGCGCCTCAGTGAGATCACCCATACCCTTCCGCCCCTGTTGCATGTCAGCTCTTTGGCCCCCAATCAAACTGTTTCTACCTGCAGTTGTTTCATTTTGTCTTTGATCCACTGTCGCGTCCGTACCTCTAATGTCCTTCTCAGATCTTGAACCTATTTTCCGTATAGACTCTGTGGCATTTTCTGAGTTAGAATCGAAGCTAGAATTATCAGCTAACTCAAGCGAACCAGGAGAGTCAGACGAGCATTCGTCTCCTATATTCCTTGCTAATGAAAAAAAAACGGCGAAATTAGTAAATGTCAGAAAGTGTCTCAAAAGGAAAAAGAACCGAAATATAAAAAGAACTCGTCTACAACAACAGAAAACTACAGTGCCACAAAGGTTCGACAGTAGCCACAACCATCTTGAATCGATCATTAGTCACAAACTTGCTTCGGCTTACCCGTGTTCTGATTGTATTGCTTAGTATTGGAGTTCACACTCCGATGTTGCTGGTTCTGCTGCATAGCGCCCTTCAGTAGTTGTGATGCCACTCCTGTAAATGTATATTCCTTAAAATTGAGTCTAATGTGTCTTTAATTTTTCTGCAACTTGTATTGTGTGGCAATTTTGAAGTAAATAGTAGAATATCAACCGAGACTGCTATCTCACAAAATCAATCAAGCGAGGTTCTGTATGTGCGTCGACGAGCAACCTGTTACACTTTAAATTTACGAGTTCGTACAATCAGTGGTCTAAGCGTACGTAGACCGATTCTGCAGTGCTCGAAATAATCATGAGCGGTAAAAACAGATATAGATATATACCAGATAAATTGACTACTCATATTGACTGGCGGTACACATTTCATCATGATCTCGAATTTATCATCGTAAATGAATAACGACATGTAAACAGTATACACAAAAGCAAGGTATTATGTACACATGCTGCCTGGTTCGCCATAGCAGCATAAACAATACAGATAATTAGAACGACCATTCGAAAGTTTATAATCAATCACACACCGATAATCGCGCACCACCGCATGACCCTTACCGTATATCGTCCTAAGCTGGGTTCGGTTAATTGAGTTTCGGCTTTCGATAGTCTCTTACTTGTGTTCTATACGATCAATTTGAAATTGTATTTTGATAGCATGATGCGAGTTTCTCTTTCTTGTCACACGATATTGCCGTGAACTTGCTTCTGTTGTGCGTGTTTAAAACTGATTCAATTTTTATAACGCATGTTCGTACATATATTGTTTTTTTGGCTCTTTATTTTTAAAAATAGTTGAAATAATTTAAAACTATCTGCGAGAGTCAAAGTACATACTTTCATTCTGTTCGAACTTCACAACATATCTCATAGACCACACAGTCACAAACAGTCAAACAAGTCGCGAACCCGCGAGTCGCGAGTCGTGACAGAAACGCGAGTTACTATTTACAGACTAGTCCCAGGCGGTGGAGCGTGGGCTATGGGCAGTCAAACTTTAGACTCCAGAGTCCAGAGTCCAGACTCGGGTACACCGGTACACTATTTTTTTTTTGAGTTGTTTGAGTATGAAGATGAAAATTAAAGTAGTAGAGAAACATTGATAAATTACTATTGGATGTATTATAGACTCCATCTATGTTTAAGCCACCTTTAAAGTGAGTTTAACCTCGCTTGTTCGATGAGGACAAACAAAAATCAAACGAGAACATCTCAAATTATCTTTATGGGTTACTCCAATAAAGTTTAATTTTTCTGGAGCCACAATTGAACTTATTGAAGCCATTGATTTTTTTTATAAAAAGAAAACTGTAGTTTTTCTGTTTTTCAGGAACACCGATTATCGGATAATATTCGGTATTTTTTAAGATACATATTCTGCATCGCGCATTCATTGTCCATTGATGAATAAATTATAAAACCGGTTACAAAATTACAATAAAACAATGTGTAGAACCTCCAATTCCAAATCTCCAATAGAAGCAACTACTCGTGCATATATAAATACTTCGCTACACTTTTGTTTAAAAAAATATAGTATTTCTCTTCCTGCGTCTACACTGGGTCAGGGTGACTGGGAAAAAAAATGTTGCTCTAAAATACCCCTTCTTCCAGAGGGAGTGGAGCATCAAATTTCAGATCCGATTTCAGAAAATGCTTAGCAAGACCTAAGCTAGAAAATCCCGTGCACATTTTGGGAATTGTATTTGGTTCGAGACCCGATTCTGACAAAATCCAAAAAAAAATGCCCTTCACGATAAAACTTGAAGAAAAAAAAGAAGACACTTCCAGCACAAATTTTGGATTTTTGAGGCCAGCAATCGACGTGCCGAGCCATAATAAGATCAGTCCATGTGTCAGAAGTTTGAAGTTGTTGTTCCCTCAAGCCTAAAATGTATTGAATGTTTGTGGCAGTCACAGGTATTTAGTACTGATCACGTCCGTATACATATGCCTATGAAGTATTGTTAAATATGCCACCAGAGAAGGCTAAGCATCTGAGTGGTGGGAGGGACAAGAGGCACTCTCTGCGTGGGTATGGCAATCAGTTTCGACCAGTCGCGCAGGCAGAAACTTATGTACCTCGTCAAGTTTTAGCGATAGTGATCTTAACGACGACGATATCGGTGATGTACAGTACAGAAGGTACGTGTTAAGGTGGGGATAAAGGCAGCTAAGGAGTGTACACAGATGCCAAAGGGTATGAGTATAATGAAGAGACTTCCTGGGAAATATGTCGGGACAGCAGAAAGAACACAGAGGCGCAAAAGAGCGAAGGTACGGCAAATCCAACAAAAATATGTCATAGCCTTCTAAAAGATTAAAAACAAGTGGGCATGGCCGGGGATAACAATGGACGCCCTAGTAGGTCCCCAATCCCCATAATGGCCGCCACAGCCCTCAGGTCCTCATAATGGCCGCCACAGGTCACAATATAACCACTTCAAAAATGGCAGAATTTTTACTATGCAGTTTTGGCTTCCTATTTTTTTTTTGACAAATACATACATACCCCTGTGCGAGTGTGCGATCCAACGATTTTTTTCAACGCGTGTATTTTTAAAAATCGACTGAATTTTTTATATTAGTTTTAGTGGAATTTCTTTTTTATTTTAAGAAAAAGGCGACGGCACCATGCACGCATTACAGTATATGATGCATGAGTCAGCCACCTTACTTCCGAAGTCTCTCTCTGCTGCTACTCTCTAGTCTCTACGACTCAGTAGGACAATAGGACTCTTTCTCAGAGAGAGTGCAGCTCTCAAAATCAACTGATTCTTTACTCTTTAGTACTTTACTCTCAAAAGGTATCGATCATTATGAGATGTAGATAGTCATAGTCAATTAATCGTAGCATTATGTACATTGTACAGTCGCTACAGTAGTAACTACTTGGAAGAGACAGAGAGAGACAGAGAGACAGCGAGAGACAGAGACGGAGAGAGACAGAAGAGAGAGACAGAAGAGAGAGACAGAGAGAGACAGAAGAGAGAGACAGAGAGAGTCAGAAGAGAGAGACAGAGAGAGACACAGAGAGACAGATAGAGATAGAGAGAGACAGAGAGAGACAGAGAGAGAGACTGAGACTGAGACTCTGAGACTCTGAGGACTCTGATGAGTCTCTTTTTTCCTCTGTGACTGTGGGTGTGTGTGAGAGAGTAGAGAGAGAGAGAGAGAGAGAAGAGAGAGAGGAGTGAAGACTCAGAGGAGGGCGGTCGGGCATAAATAAAAACTTTGACCTGTCCCGTCCTAAATCTCAAGTACAGTAAAAATTGCCCTGGTCACCTCTAATTTCCGGTATTTATTATATTTTATGTTAAAAAACGGCTTTCTTTTTTTTGGCTCAGCAATTCGTTTGCATGAGAGTTTTATACCGACATATAGACGAGTTCTTTAGAAAACGTTTAATTTAAAAAAACGGTTTACTTATCGAAACGTATAAATCGAAAACGAACCGAAATGGAGTGATAAATGCACCAGTCCTAAAATATCAAAGAAGCCCTTTCCAATTTCGAAAACCCGAGTGACTTCGTTTTTCCTTCACTATTACACTATACTTTTTAAAGTATTTAGAGCGAGAGCTATTTATGTAAATATTTTTAGACAGCGATTATATTGAGTATCTATTTTTTAGGTTATTTTTACAAAACAAAACTTTTTTTACACCTATTTTATATTTAAAAAAACCCCATGCAAATATAGTCAATCTGATGAGTCATAATTAGTCCAATTTCCCAAGTCACTTCACTGTAACACTGGCGGGGCACACTGCCTGGCAGGCTGGCAGGCTATCTGCCATCTGCGACTGGCTGTCTTTCTCTGGCCGATTTTTCTTCTCGACGGCTATTTATAGCTCTACATTGCCGATCTCGCTGTACAAATTTTGGGTCAAAATTACATTTATTTTGTATAGAAATGGCAGTTGGCACGCCACCGTCCACAGAGGGTGCACAGACCACAGTGCCACACTCTCTGAGAGAGAGAGAAAGGGAGAGTCAGCGAGTATTGTATATTTACACGAAGAATATGTATATGGTGCAATCCATAACCTTGTAAAAATTGTACCGGTGCAATCTGTCTAATTTTCAGAAGGCTATGTGCAATCGCCTTAAAAAATAGGGTCGGAGACCACCACTACTTTGCCAGGGTGTGGAATTCGCAATACGACCAAATTCTGATTTTAATAGCGGAAATTGCTTAGAACAATTAGGAAAGAAAAAAACCCGGACAGATTTTTTGACATGCCCATATTTCTTGACTCGACCCTGACAAATTTGGTCGCTGTCCCTAGAACACCCACCTGCAGTCCGAATTTCGTACTTTTAAGGCCAGATTTCGACATGCCGCGCCATCTCTAAGGTCGGTCGAAGTGGCAGAAGTATGAAAATACTTTTCGTTCTGGTCTAAAAGTGTGCAAACAATGTCTGTGAGTCCTAGTAGTAGTATCAATAGTACAATTTATACCAGCTTGTAGTATACACACATATGTCACCGCAAAAGTCCAAGCATTTAAGCGGGGGCAGGGATACGAGACATTCACTGCGTGGTCCTGACATTCGATTCCGTCCTGTCATACAAGACGAGGAGTATGTAGAGACAGAAGCAACCAGTGACAGCGATGTAGACGCCATCAAGAATGCAGACAGTGATGCACGTCGATGTCAAGTTGTTGAGGTTTTAGCAGAGGCTGAGGTAAGACCGAAGTTGCCAAAGGGTAAGGTTATAAGTTTTAAGTTAGCCACTATAAGACGCTTTGTACGAGGGTCTTACAGGTATTTGTATTGCTATGACAAAGGGTTGGCTCTACAATTAGCAGAGTTTGCGAAGAAAAGTATACTTCGCACCGTCGTGTTCCTGAGAATGTGTATGAAGTTGTTTCAGCTGAGATAGCTAGTAAGGAATAAATAAAAATGATATACATACGCACCTCTACTATCCTCATTCATCTAAAACTCATTTTGAAATATTCATACAAACTTGTGGATATGGTTTGTAAGAATATTGGCCGAATCAACAGCCCATAATGGCCGGTCCAGGTCACCATATTGACCACATTGACTTTGGCCGATTTTTTTATTGTAGTTTTGCCTTCCTCACATCAGGCCGATCACCACCTTGAAAACCGTTTTTCCAAATTCAAATTAATTCACCTTCAAAATCAGGGTTGAAGAAATCTCTTAAAGGCGATTGCACCATATGTGTACATATATATATTTTGTTTTAAAAAAACAACAAAAACAAATCAATTTGTGACGCAACAAGCTATTTAAAAAAAAAGAGGTTTAGAGGGCCGGTAGACCGGTCGCCGTAGGGGGTGGAATAAGAATGAATGGGAAAAACGACAAAAAAAAATCTACAAAGCAGCTATTTGTTTTTAAAGGAGTACAATCAGTAAGTACTGTAGATAAAATTCTTATTATTGATCCAAAGAAAAAGGGTTACTATCAATGATATCTTGGAGTAAACACCAATCAACCCTTCCTCTCTCTTGTATGTTTAAACAAACGAACTACAGGCGTGAGGCGTGAGAAAGTTGAGACAGGCCTCATTACGCTAAGCTATGCTCAGTTATACGTTCAACGTTCTACGTTTAAAAAAATAATATTTATGCGATAAACGTACAACGCACCCAATTGATTTTTTTCGGCCACGAATTCATAAGACTCTGGTTGGCGACTACGTCTGTGTTACAGACACTTACAGAGTCACAGACAGTCACACGTCTAAACACACTCACAGTGACACTGACACAACACACACTTACAAAAGTACATTAGTACATGCGCGTACACACCTACCGTCACATCCTGACTGTTAGTAGACAAAACTATAGTCTTTGACTTAGGAAACTTTGCCTCGGGAATAGATTCCCGTTTACCATGTTTCTTGTCTTCGTTTTCAGCTATTTGCAACGTTTACTTATGCTTGACCGACTCTGGGCATGTACACGCATCACTAACAAGATAAAGCTAAAGATGTTGCACATTGGATAAATTAAAATCAGCCTTGCAGTGCATACAAGTAAGCATTCCTTCTCTATTCCTATTCCAGCAGTTGACATGAAGTGTTCGCTCTTAACAGTATCAACAGCTCTACCCATAATGAATAAATTATCTTCACAGTAAATAAGTCTAGCTTAACTTCTACACTCGATGTGCTTAGATCGAATGCTCTGCTGTCTGCGATCCTGTGATTTACACTTATTTTTTTACTACCAGACTATGCCATATGCCATTTATATATATATATATATATATATATACTCGTATATAATATAATTTACGGATATATATATATACATACATACATACACACATACAAACATACATACATACACACATACAAACATACATGCAAACATACATACATACATACATACATATATATATACATGCATACATGCATATATATAC